GATAACCTCGGCAGCTGAAGACTGATCGACCCCCAAGGCATATATGCAGGTGTGTACGTGTGTATGTATGTATGTATGTATGTATGTATGTATGTATGTATGTATGTATGTATGTATCTCTCTCTCTCTCTCTCGCTGTCTGTCGCTCTCTCTCTCTCCCCCTCTCTCTCTCTCTCTCTCTCTCTCTCTCTCTCTCTCTCTCTCTCTCTGTGTGTCTCTCTTATTATTCATGCATTTGATAATTCAAGCACGCACCAATGCCCCATCTTGCCATGGTGGAAACCGACAGCCACTCCCACCGACCCCGATGAAGGGGATGTGTCCATCAATGCGACGAGCCATCGAGAAAGCATGAATGAGACGGCGTTTTTCTTCTGCTACGAAACTTCGGAGGTGAAACGGATAACAACAGTCTCGAGGAGCTTGTTCGTGCAAACTCAAATTGAGATCCTAGCTATTTCTCGATCTTGGCACATGAGAGCACCCCAGGTTCAAAAAGTTTCCAGTGAGCTTGTGTGAGCCCGACGATTCGTGGCGCCACAAAAGAAAGCAGTCTCCAGTATCTTGTTTTCTCAATGCAAAGTACCGTCTAGAGTCCAACGTTCGCTGCCCGAATTCCGGAGACATACACTGAGATACATGTTGTGTTGCGGCTCAAAAAACCACAAACCTGTTCGTCGTGCTCGGAAGCTCCGCACTGCACTTGGATCATTTGGGCGACCAAAATGGTGAGCATGATGTAGTCTGCGACAAAGCACTAGCTTCGAAGATTCAATGTGTAGGGTGCACGTTGCCAACAACCTAAACATGAGAGCATGTTCTTCGTGACACTCCGACGGCTCCCCAAACCCACCAGTGCATGCTCGGCAAATAGTTTGTTCCGAGTCTTAGGCATATGCTGGCAAGCTGCAAGGTTTCTCGTGAAGGACTGTAGCTTTCTTGTCTGCAGAAGACTGCTGTGAAGTCCAACGTTTGAAGTCATGCGTTATCTGGCCAGGAAAGTACGGACGTACTGGGAATTGTGCGCCACAGCAAAGCTGGGGCCATCATAGAAAGCTTTTCTGAGAGTTGCTCTGCGACTGTGCCACGTAGTAGCATTTTCTTAAGCATGTTGCTTCAAGGGGTCCTTCAGGTTCTTGTACGTGGCCTCATGGAGTCACGGTTGCACATGCCATAGCACTTGAGCAGTAGATGAGGGCCGCTCATGAGCATGCACTTGGCTGTACAAGTCACAGAGGTTGCTATGTCCGGGGTTGGGCGCAACTGCCAGAGTGCAGTGGCTTGGGACCAGCACGGGAGTGATGTGCTGCTGCCCGACGAAAAACTGCAAGCGTGCTTGCGATGCTCATGAGCTGCCCTGGGCCTGCATTAGCCTGCCGGAGTCTTGATTCTGTTGCGCATCGGGCGGCTACGGGTGTTTGTGTATATATGTGCCCAACTCGTGCCATACGTTTGGCAGCTTGAGCATTCTTCAGTCACGTCATCAGTTGGGCCAGTGAACCCAGGTTGTCAACAAAGTATGCCCGCACCTTCAGAGCAGCAAGCGGCAAGAGTCTAGTCAAATTGGAGCAGCCACATTCCTTTGGCACTCCAGCCCAACCGGATTTGGACAGTCTTGGGTACACGTGGAAGCAAAGTCGCGATGGCGCCAAAAGCCATGACGAGTCTCAACGTGGTAATCCCTCCGGGCATGAAGCCAGGTCAGGAATTACAAGCCCAGAGTCCAGACGGCACGATTGTCATTTAGCGGCAAGTGAGACTCTGCTGCAGACCGTGAGGTTGCATGCCGAACCCTGAAATGCCGAGGTGCAGGCCAAGATTCCCGCTGGAATGAAGCCTGGGCAGACTTTCACTATGCAGTATACCCCCACGGTGGCCCCGACACCGCCGGAGCCAAAACTGCTGGGCGCACTAGGCAGAATGCCCCCCGGAGTTGCACAGCTGAGCACGCATCAGAGTTTGTCTCATTCGCCTGTGTTTGCAGCATGTGCCCAAGGTATTCTGGTGGAGATCTCCTCGTCCTTCTTGGCTTGGTCGCAGTCGGCTTCTCGCTGCCGTATCTTTTCAGTCACGCCGGATCGGTCCTACCAATTGTGGCCACATATGCCATACCTGCAGCAATTGCTTTCGTGGCCATCGCCTACGATACTCACCGCAAAGCAGATACGCAATGTTGCAGCCGGGGGACGCGGGATACATTGCTTAGGACTGGACCATGAAGGGACCAACTGTCGCGCTGAAGCATGGGGCAGCATGGAAGCAAGTAAAGATGCTGAGGTTAGGTGTGGGTCCATTCCGACGGTAGCAGGTAGCACATATCACATCACATCATATCCTATCCTATCATATCATATCATATCATATCGCATTCTGCAAGTGTGGGCCGCAAACACTGAAAACACACCCAGCAGTTTTTAAGCCCCTCTATGTCCCAAGAATTCGCAAGAGAGTCCAAATGCGCTCCACGCGGTGGGAGCACGATGGGGATCCGAGAATACTGGCAAGAGTGCGTTTTTCGGAGGTGCAAACACGAGTCGCACCCCAACATGTGCGGTACTGTAGCGGGAGCACAACGGCAAATGTCGGAAAAATCCAACATTTTTGGAACGAGATCGCAGAGCAGCCGAATAGCTTGGCAGCTTTTTTTGCATGGCCAGGGACATGACGGTACAAAGAGCGAGACTCAGTAAGTCGGGAAGCGTCAACAGGGGTTTATTTGCACGGGATCCGAGCCGGACCATGGAAAGACCGTGATTGAAGAATCTCCACCATGACGCCACAGTGGACCCGCGGGACCGGGAGTAATTAACCGAATCCCTTTGCTGAGTGTAAGAAGCCCCTCACTCTGTCAGTTGGCGTCTGCGGCAGTGGCCTGGGTCATGGTTGTCCCTCTGGGTCTGATAACGCATTCTTTGTGGCTCGGCAACACCAGTGTTTTCTACCGGCGTTTGTTCACTTTCAGTTGCGATGGTGCTGTCCTAACTGTCCTAAACTACTGAGGTTGCATTACCTCTCGGCTCTTATCATAGCAGCCCCATGGCTAGGAAGTTTGTGAGCGGAATTTTGAGGCCTTTTGCATTGGAAAACACGCTCTAGTTTCGAGCAGCTGGCCAGGGCCTTGCATTATCAATGCTCCTGACACTTCTCACGATGTACGGATTTCTTGGTTGCATTGTGGGTGTGCTACTGGGAATGGTCCTGGCTACTCGGCTGTTTTGGACTCCACATGCGAATTGAACTGCGCGTGCTTGTTTGCCGACATCCACGGCTTGCCGGGCTATGGGGTGGTCAGGTGCTCCACAGACATGTTACGTTGAACCGTTCCAGCAGGTCACCTTTGGGAATGCGAGGGTTTGAGGAAGCTTGTAACGTATAAGTCGTGATGTGGGAAGGCAGTGTTAGCAATGCTGCTGCAGTGGTGGCACTCTCGGATGTGCTTGAGGTTCATTTTGGCAGCTTCATGGTGTGGTTGATCACTGAGCCATTCGGCACATCGATTGTCTTCGCCGCAACGTTCTGGTGTGCCAGGGTGTGCTTTGCCTGCAGAATGGCGGTAGTTGAGTAGAGGGGACCCTTGCCGTTGGCTGGCCTTGGCAGCACCGAGGTTTTTCAGCGTGCTTTTCCAGCATCACTTGGACCCAAAATCTTGGCCTGACGTAAAAGAGGTTCTCTCCTTACGCGGCGAAGTTGTATGTTGCAGGGAGAGACAGAAAACAATATCTTTAATGCGGCTGTGCTCCGAGTTTGCGGTTCTCACAGCCCTCTGGCCTGACTAGCTCCCTGGACTCGGGAATGAAGTGAAGAGACAGAGAGAGGGAGGGAATACCCTCGTTGCTCGTCTTTATGATGTTGGTTGTTGTCAACACGGGGATTGGTGATTGCCTTCATCCCGTTGCATGTGTCCATGTGAGTATACGATCATCATCTTCTCGTCATCTCATACTTTATGGCTCTAGCCCTATGATGATCTATACTCTTTGGTCACTCCCCTGTGCCCGATAAAACATCGGGCGGGCTTGATGCCCGGGGGCTTTGACCAGCCCCCATGCCCGGGAGGGAGAAAGGGAGCGAGAGAGAGACCTGTGGGAAGAAACTGATGTTTGGTACACTTAGTACACTCCTACTGAACATAGTTCGTTTGGGAAGTCAGCGGGGACGGCACAGCTAGACCTTCCTTTCACACCGAGCTGGGGGGAGCACAATGTGGCAATCCTCAGAAGACCTGGAATACAGCTGCGCGCATGGTGTGGAGGGGTGAACTCACGAGTATTTCCCTTCGAAGCCGTTAGCAGCATTGTGCAGCCCAGCCTTGGGAAAGTCAGGGTAGGTGCCGGGATGATTGTCTTATGGTTTTCTTTTGGTGCAGGGTTTTTCCCGTTTGCGATTTTGATACGGTTCTGGTTAGGTTGCGATTTCAATTCGGCTACGCGGGAAAGCGCGACTCGGAAAGCAGCTCTGCTCTGCTGCAAGTCCGAAAACCATATCAAAAACATAGAAAACACATCAAAACCAGTCCTGGAGAAGGCTGGAGACGAATCGGTATCGTATCAAATTCGTATCAGAATCGTATCGAAATCGTATCGAAACTGTATCGAAATCGTATCTAAATCGTATCCAAATCGTATCCAAACCGTATCCAAATCGTAACACAATCGTAAACCATAAGGAAATCATAAGAAAATCGTAACCGTATCGAAATCATAAAAAATAATTAATCCTTGAAATCGGAGTTTCCCAGCATTGCGGGCATCACAACGTTAGCAAGCAAGCAAGCAAGAGAGAGAGAGCGTAGTATACTCTGCCGTCAGTAATTCAGGTGTACTGTGTCTGCTAGGGGAACCGTTTTGTGTTCAGATAAGTACCTGTCCTTTGGCCCGCAGCAGTCACGGGAGAAAGGGTGTCCCAAAGAAAAATGTACTGGGCTAGATAATCGGGGACACACAATCTTCCGAAAGCCTCAGGGGTTAACAGACCCCTCATGCCCTGGGGAAGAAGACCCCGTAGCCATTTTGGCTCAAGAGAGACAGTGGTTCGAGGGACCGGCCCCTTTGTCCAGGTCCCAAAACCCGGCCGCGAGAGAGAGAGAGAGAGATGCGAGGGACCAGGCCGCTTTCGCCTGTCTGCACCGCGATTCGAGCTGCGCTACCAGTTTGCTGCACTTTGCGACCTCTCCATCCTTGCCCGGGACCGCGACATAGGAGGGCACGCAGCGCAAGGTGGCCGGCGAGTGAGGGTCACTGTCACCCGCTACCACACACATATCGGCGAATCTACGCCGAGGGATACCAGCAAGGAGGGGTTCACATCGCCTTTGCCACTGGGAGAGGGACACCATCAACCGGACGATCGTGACTTGGGCATCTTCACCGAGAAAGAGATCTTCACAGGATGCCTGAACTACCGCGCCACTCCCGAAAACCAGGCGAGGGACCTGCCGATCGACCACCACTCCCACGCAGACGGGGTGCAGACGCCAGCGGAGCACGAGACTGGGGGACACCGTGGAGGGCACCAAGAAGCATAAATACACCTACGAGGGAGGACCCACCCCGGGAGAGGGGCCCACCAGCAACAAAGGTGGAACAGGAGAAAAAGACCAAGAAACAACAGCCTCTATGTATGGTGCAGCGTCGCCCGACCCCC